GGTAGTGTAGACGCAAAGGACAGTTTACATGCAATAACACCTTCTGTCGACAGAACTCAGCGGTAGTGTAGACGCAGGTATAGTTTTGTCGACAAAACTCTAGTCTAGACACACCCAAAGATTAAGCAAACAGCATTACAGCCCCTTCCCCCCAGCAAAAAAGTATCCCAACATGCCTGAAAGCCAGCTACAGGTATCTATACAGGTAAATGCAAATGAACAGTGCAGGCAATCCACCCATGGTATCTGGAAAGGAGGGAGCAGTGACAGGAGAGATAGGGCTCCTCTACAGTAGAAATGCCACATACACACAACAGCTCACTTGATGACAACACACTGCGCTGACAGGAGAGAGCCCTCTCACTGCATAATAAATCCACCTGAACAAGAGGAGGAACCTGGGTTGCTGGGTGAAGCGCTCCTGCCAACAGAGCTGTCCAAACCAACCATGTAACCTACCTCACCCCCAGGAGCAGCAGCAGAGCAGACTTGGCCTCAGACATGGGAATGAGTCAGCTGGAATGTTAGCCAATGTCTTGACACTCTTGGCAAAGGGATGAGGAAGTGTCCTTGCTGTATGCCAGCTCTGTGTATTGTATTCTGCCTCTCTAGATGTTCCCCCAACTTCGGTGGTTATGGTATTCTTCCGATGTAGGCCCCAACTGCTATCAGATGTCCATGTGCACACAGCATGAGTTCCAACCCAGAGATGGCTGCATCTCCACGGTGGGCAAAGTGAAACCCTAAATATCCTGAACCCACTACACTGGCACGTTTGGCTGGCCTAGCTCCCGTCCATAAATCTCAATGGACTTCTCAATGAAAGGTGATTTAGAAGTGCAGATCACTGTATCGGGACAAACATGCAATAGTATTGACTTTCACACTAGAGTCCCAGTATTAGAGAAAGCGCAGAACTTAGCCCCTCCTACCTTAACAGTTGAGATGAAAGGGCATCTCTTTGGGTGTAGCAGCACAGGATCTAAGCTAAACAGTTTGGATTTTAATCTGCAGCGATCAGCTTTACATTAACACTTTAATTGCATCTCAATCATTGCTACATATTCATTATTTAAACATTCATTCCTATGTGGCTTTTCATAGCTTACACCATCACCACGTGGGGTATTTTTGATGTAGGTTCTTGATTGCTGCACAGTAGTTTCTAGCTGCATTCTCTTTCTAGGATCAACACTTTGTGATAGGACTTAAAAGCTACAGTGTGTTAATCCTGTACAACAAAACTCAACAACTTCTGAGTGAGAGACCCAATCTCCCAAGGTCTGGAGTGCAGTAGATGGAGGGGTGGCGGAAGAGGAAGAAAAAAAAATTCTGGGGGGGGCAAGTGTCCCGAATTTTTGTAAAACAGTATTTTCCCCATGTAAATTGTCAACATTCTGAAATTCAAAAGATTTCAGTTGGCCATGTATTTGATTGGAAGACAGGGGAAAGTTGCGCAAAGTTTTTGCTGAAGCTTTGAAATTCCAACAATTGCAAGCAGCTCTTGTGTGCTCACTGGCTTGAAAGCGAGACAGATGCTAGCCGCTCAGAGGAGAAGGGATATGCTGCACCATCCAAGGGCCTGGCAGATTCAGAGCTCCATTAGTATTGTCTAGTTAAGACATGCCCGAACGTAACAGACTCCTGGGCTCCATTCCTTCCTCTGCCCCCAGCTTGCTCTGCAGTCTTGCAAGCAGGATAACTTGCAGTGCCCCTGTTCCACCTCCACCCCCTCGCTATAAAAAAGGATAATACCCAGCAGGGATGTTGGGAGAAGTGTGTAGGTGTAGCTGTAGCTGTTCCAGGATATTAGAGACACCAGGTGGGGGAGATGATCTTTTTTATAGAACCAACTTCTGTGAATGAAAGAAATTCTGAGCCATACAGATGGTATTCCACGTGCCACAGCTAAACACAAGATGGGACAGATTGTTTAGCAAAGTAAAAAGTCTCAGGGGGTAAGTAGCCATGTTATGCTAAAACAACAGTGGCACCTTAGAGACTCACAAAATATATAGGATCATGAGTATCTGATCAAGTGGGTTTTACCTAGATAGAGCTCATAATCCTCTATATTTCTTAGTCACGAAGGTGCCACGGGACCACTCTGTTGTTTTTAGTATAAGTAGTTAGCATATATTCCAAGGGACCATTCAAGATAGACATTAGAGTTATGGATTATTACAATTCACATCACACTAACCCCTGTTTTTGTCCTATGACTGCAGAAGTGTTTAGAGACCCCCTCTATCTTGAATAGTCCCTTAGTAAACAGTCTGTTCCACCTTGCACTTAGCGGCGAGGCTAGTAGTACCTCTCCCAGACCTGAAAAGAGAGCTCTGCCAGATCAAAACAGAAGTTGGTCCAGTAAAAGGTGTTACCTCACTCACCTTGTCTCTCCAGTGTGTCTAAGTCTCAGAGAGGGGTAGCTGTCTTGGTCTGTAACTTTACAAACAAGGAGCAGTCCTGTGATACCTTCGAAACTAACAAATATATAGGATCATGAGCTCTCATGGGCAAAACCTACTTCTACAGATGAGCTGGCTCAGTGTTTTTTTCAGAGTTTCTAAAACAGTGATAAATATCCCTTGAGGTAAACAGAGGTCTTGGGGGGGGGGGGGGGGGTCTAATTATTTGGTCTAGATTCACAACACTAGTGGAATCCATACAAATTAAAATTTCATACAGTAACTTGTTTACACTGCTCTATATTCAGTCTGTTTGACATGGAAGTACAATAGTTATACTACAATTGAGTTTATAATTATATGAGAAACATGAGCCAGTAAGCAATTTTTCAGTAGTAGCATGCCGTGACACTTTTGTATTTTTAAGGTCTGATTGTATAAAAAGGGGTACAGTGGTCTGGAAAGTTTGAGAGCTATTCTTCTAAAGCATTTTGCAACCTCTCACCTTTTCCTTTAATGTCCCCTCTCTTTACTGCCATGATATTGTTCACGTTGCTTGTGTCTGTCTAGTATATTAAAACTGTAAATGCTTCAGGACAAGGACAGTCTGCTACTCTGTACAGCACCTAGCCAATGGTGAACATTTTGACAAATCCTTAGGCACTGTAATTAACAAGATCAATAATAATGTCCGAGAAGTACCAAATACAGTATTCACAGCACTTCCGAGTCTTACACAGTGACTGCTCCTCTAGAGGACTCCCAAACCCATCAGTGAACTAGTTTCAAAGCCCAAGCTCCTCCATTAACAAACAAACAAACAAACAAAAAAACCCAGCAGTGTATTTTAAATACTCCCTAGCAGAGATTAAGGAAGAGAAAGCTGCCTGCCCATCCTCATCCAGATCTGCAAGAGACACAAAAGTTTTCTGCACAATGAAGTTCTGTTCCCACAGGATTCAGTTCTGCCATCTTCAAAAACAAGCACAGCAGATGGACACAACCGAGGTCTCTTCATGTAACTACTGGACCTTATAAGGGAGACAAGAATGATGAAAGCCATGTGCAAAGAATCACTCAGCTGGAACTTGGGAAACTTGGGTATTACATCATCTATTTCCTGCTCTAGTAGCGACCTGCTACCTAGCTTTACTCCTTTCTGTGCCTCAGTTTCCTTTCTCAACCTCATATTTTTAGGCTGTAAAGTTCCTGCACACATCTTCAAACTATGAAACTCACAAGGTGCCCAGATGGGGCCAAACAATTAAGAGTGCATGAAAGCCACATAGAGAAATTGCACAGGGCTCATCAACACAGTCTATTGTATTATTTGCTCTTCTTATCTCCACCTGCCTCTTCCCCGTGTTTGTTTACCCCCTAAATAAAAGAAGAGCTGGTCACCTTTTCATCTGCTGAACTTTCTCAGGGCCCTCAAGAAGGCTTTTAGTTACTGTATTGTCCTCAGTACCCGGGGAGGAGCAAGGTACATTGTAAGTTTTTGGGAGCACCAATTTGTGCGCCATTCAGATAGCACAATCTTAGCAAAAGGAGGCGAAGCGCATTTGGAGGGTCCTGCACTGCAGTTTGCGGAATACCCACCCTGAAGAGGACAGCTGTGCCTTAAGGTAGCAGAATTCCCTGCCCAAGAGTCAAGTAGGAGAAAGGGCGATTTCAAACTCAAGGGGGTTGAGCATCTCTATGTAAAGTTTAGCCATTAAAGAGTCACAGGAGGTTTCTGTAAGCTAGGGGGAGCAGACTCGTCTCCCTCACATCACCCTTTGGAAGGAAAAGGGGGGGGGGAGGAATCTTGTTCTTAAACTGGAGGTTAAAGAAAATCTTAATGCATGGTGCCAGGTTGTTACAAGTGTCTCATCTGTATTAAAGACAGGAAATTAAACCAATTAAACATGGAAAGTCGAGGTTGGGAAAACTTCTTTTGCAAGGGAAGCGGTAGCTAGTTATTTTAAATTCTGTCAACTTCAGAAGGGGCTGTTCTCTCCGAAGTCAGTAAGAATCGGTCTTAGAAGTGATCTCCATCCTCCTTAGCGAGCCACCCGTCCCCCTCAGCCTCCTAGTGAGACTACTTCGTTTACCCCGGGGGGGAGGGGGGTGACAGGCCCACAGCTTGGGACATGTCTGTACTTGCGCCCTGTTCGCCCAACAACAAGTCAAATGGAAACTCTGATTTGCCTCCAATCACCGAGAAAAGTCGAGAAGAGAGGGAGCGAGAACTCGGTTCGCGGCACATGCCAGACGCTGCAAAACTGTTTGCCCATCGGATCTAGCATTCACCGGCCCAGGGAATGCGCCGATATTCGCCACCGGTATGAACAACCTCACGCCCCCTCTTCGCATCCCATTTCACTGCGGCTGATGCAACTGGAGTAAAAGTGTACAGTTAAAGAGTCCCTTACGCGACCAGGCTGGATCTGGAGCGCCGCCCCCTCCCCCCAAATCGTTTAGACTGGGAAAGTAAACAGCTCCGAAGTTACAGACCAGGGCAGGAGAGAAGAGAAAACTGGAAAATAAGCAAACCCCTTCCGAAAAAAGGGTGTGTGTGTGGGGGGGGGGAGGGTTCCCCCCTTTCCATTACCTCCTTACTCCGCAACTCGCCACATCCTTCGCAGGGCAAGTAGCTCGCGATGCCCGTGCAGCTGCGGCACTCGGAGTCTGCAACGATCATGGTGCCGTTCGGGGTGGGGAGGGACTCGGGTGCGGGGGAGACGTGGGGCGAGCTCTGCGCCAGCGCTCGGACCCGGTTATCTGTCCGGAGGGTGAAGGTGCATCGCGGGCCGGGCAGCGCCTGGGCACGTCAGTTTCGCGGCAGGGGGGGGGCCCGGGGGGCCACGGTTCTGGAACGTCCGGGCGCATCAGGGTTCTGGAACGTCCGGGCGCATCAGGGTTCTAGAGCGCCGCGGAGCCAACCCACTCGCGACTCGCTCCCAGCCTCCCAGCTGCCCTCTCATAAAGGTCTAGGCGGGGAAAACAGCTGCCCGCGGCGGCCCACTGACCCACTGGCCCAATCACCTCGCAGGAGGAGGAGCGTCCTCCAGAGCTCGGGCTCAGCCCCTAAACTTCTCCTCCAATAGGGAAGGACAGAGCCGCTGGGGATTTTGGGAGTGCTAGTTTCAACCGCTGTTTACTTTGGGGCAGACGGAGACCTCCTGGGAAGATGAAGCAAAATGCAGGACAATGTAGCACTTTAAAGACTAACAAGATGGTTTATTAGATGATGAGCTTTCGTGGGCCAGACCCACTTCCTCAGATCAAGTCAGAAATGGGTGCAGGGGCTAGGAACCCGGCCGAATGAATGCAGCAGAGGCATGCACCACCCGCCCCCTCACGGGGTTTTCTTTTTCTTTTTTTTTAATGGAGAACACACTGAGATAGAACTTGATCCTTCGTGGGGGAGGGTTGCAGTGGAAGAGAGAAAATTAGGCACAAGGAGAAAAGCCCTTGACGCTGACTCAAACTGTATATGAAAGGTCCTTCTGGCACGATCAAAATCTAGCGACCTGTCTGCATGCAGCGCTTAAAGTGGTTTGGAAAAGTGCACATGTGTGTCTGTGTGTGTGTGGGGGGGGGGGTCATAATCTGGGAGTAAAAGTGCTTGACTTGCATCCCTCACTGACTTGAATCCATTTTTAAATCTCATTTTTTTGGCCTAGTCTGCGACCCCTTCTCACCACCTCTGCACTTTGAGCGCCCACGCCCACGTGTACACACACACAGACACACAGACACTTTCTCAGATCTCTGGATCTACCTAAAAATAACACAACTTGAAATGAAACCTAAGTCTTACCTAAGTGAACCTGCCAAACAGAGACTAAATAAATAAAGGAAATAATTTCAAACCAACATTAAGAGCACCTGGATGGAGCAAAACAACCAATCAGGAGAAAAACAACATAGAAATAAAAAGAAGTGATGTTGGGGTGTGGACGATTACCCTGTTCCCTGTAGATTCAAAGGGCTGATTCTGGATCACAAACTCCCATTATGGGATTTCTGAACACACCGAGAAGAAATCTGCACATAGGTTCCTGCATCCATTTGCCATTGCTCTTGTGCTGTCATTTGCACTAGTGCAAAGTGGATGTAAAATACTATTAAAACAGTAGGGCTCTGTTCACTTTTGCATGTGCGTAAATGGCAGCACAAGGTGTAGGCCAATGGAGAATCACGCCCATTATCTATGAAAAGGAACACGAGGCCCACAAGGAAATGAACATTCACACATACTGGGCCCAATTCTCCTCTTACATCAATTAACACCAGGCTGGACTAAAGCCTCACCTACGTTTAACACTTGTAGGCTACGTCTACACTAGCACCCTTTTCCGGAAATGCTTAAAACAGAACAGTTTTCCGTTATAAGTATTTCCTGAAAAAGCGCATCTACATTTGCAGGATGCTTTTCCGGAAAAGCACTTTTTCCGGAAAAGCATCCGTGGCCAATCTAGACGCGCTTTTCCGCAAAAAAGCCCCGATCGTCATTTTCACGATCGGGGCTTTTTTGCAGAAAACAGTACTGTGCTGTCTACACTGGCCCTTTTCCGGAACAGTTTTCTGGAAAAAAGACTTTTGCCCGAACGGGAGCAGCATAGTATATCTGGAAAAGCGGCTGATTTTCTGGAATAAGTGGCCAGTGTAGACACAGCCGTAGGGCATAAAAAACACAACACCTAGTGACACATGTGCTGACAAAATGCTCAGTGTAGGTGCAGCTACCCTGACAGAGTAGTGCTTCGTCAGCACAATTGATGTTCAGGGAGATAATGGAACAGTGCCTGTTTTGGGGGGGGGGTTTACAACCAATAAGATAATGGGTTAATAGAAGAGAGGAAGGAGGGAATCCAGGACTGAAATAAAAGAGGGACTTGCAAGTCAGCATCGTGGGTTCCTTGTCCCCTTATAGCCCTTCCCTATAGCTTCCTCTGCTTTCCTGTGTCCCAATCATATTGAGTTATATTTTTTGATGTACCCTTGAGACTGAGTAGAGATCACCCCATATCCCTGGTCCTTTCTGTGTCTTAAGACACAGCTTATCATTCCTACATTAGTGCACAGATCTTCATAAGCAACACAGAAGGCCAGACAACTGGCAGCATTATGAATGGAGCTACACTGGAGATGAACTTGGGTCTGTTATTTCACAGAATAATCAATCAGAAAGCGCAGTGCCAAATTGTGTTCTCTGCTCCCCTGGCGCAGCCCCCGTTGATTTCCACCCCCGCTGATTTGAATAACAAACACCACATTTCTACAAAAGAGAGAGCCCCAGACAATAGTGCCGAGAACAATCTGCTTTGGCGTCAAGAGCCACACATGGCAAAGTCCAGAAAACAGAAGTAGCTGCGCAAACAGGTCTGGATTTGCCTGGCAACAGCCTCCTCCGGCTCCAATCCAGAACGCCTGCCAGTTAGGTGAAAATGTCTTTGCACCTTGGCTGAGTGGTACTTCCCAGGACAGCCAATGGACAGGCGGCTCAGGAAGGGATGGCAGAGTGTGGTTGGCTGAGGCTGCAGGCGGCTCAGCCAGTCCCTGCAAGGAGCACAACAAAGGGGAAAGAGGAAGCTTGCAGTGGCAGCTTATATACAGTCAAACGGATTTTTTTCCCCTCTGGCTGATAGATCAACCCCATGCGCAACTAGTGTTATTTTTAGCAGCGTTGTGCAATTGCAGCTTTACTGCAAAACTCTGGCTTGACGGTGTTCTGTGGCCTTCAACCACCCTTCTGTGCAAAGACCCCAGTTTGCCTTCCATTCCCCCGCAGACCTGGGCATGGTGCAGCTCAAGTCATTGTAACAAAGTGGATTCCTTAAGCATTTGACCAGGGAAATCTGGGAGGCCAAGTTTGTGTTACTCCATTGGGGCCAACTCTTTCCGACTCACTCTAGGGTTTAAAACTCCGGAGAGGCCAAACAGTGAGGCAAGAGCCTTTGTAATGTGCTTTTCTTAATGGCACGTGATTTAAGATGAAGACAGACCCACATGCTCCCAAATTCTGAGGAAGGATGGGCCCGTCCTTATGATAGTCCCAAAGCAGAACCAGGGCTGCAGATCTCCCCGTTTGGGCTTATTCTCAGTCCCAAATCAGAACCACTGAATCTCTCAATAGCCTGAGCTTTGGCAAAATTTGATTCGAGCCTGGAATTCAAATGCAAACTCCACCATGCGGCCCCCATTTCTCCAGGCAGCAAAGCACCCGGCAGAGGCAAAGCATCGGTCCATGAACAAATTGCACATTCTGACATTCTTTCTCCTCGGCATCACATCCTGCCTCACCACTTACCCCTGGACCGTGAAGGTGTAAAGTGCACCGTGTGTTCCTGTTGCACACTCACTTTTCACAGGTAAAAATGGTACGTGAGGTGGCGAGGCAGGGCAGAATCACTGCCCCTCATACCCGGGGTAGATCAGGCGGCAGAAGGGTGACGTTTCTTCAGGGGAGATCGGACCCATCTCAACACACTGTGCTCTGCAGATCTCATACCCTTGCCGCTCTCCTGGCTGGTTTTCCAGCCAGCCCCTGCCAAGCCTGGGCAGCGTGGGTGGGTAAGAGGAGGGGGCACCACCAGCTCCCAGTGACTAACTTACCCATGATTTACCCCCTCCACCACCCTACAAGGCTGTACATGCAGCAAAAGTCAAAGGCTAGAGCAGCTTCTCCTGGGCTCACTACCCCCCGCGCAGGGTCACAGAAGGAGCCTTGTGTGGCCTGTTGTGACCAGCTCGGCTGTTTGTCAGGAGCCCAGGCGCGACAGATGCCTTGAGCAGCAGCTGGGCGTGGGGGGACGCTGAGGCAATTAGCACGGAGGCTGAACGCTAGGGACCCTTGTACACCCGGCCACTTGGACAAAGCCCGGAGCAGCAGCAGGTCGAGATGCAGCCTGTTCCCTTGAGCTGCTTCCCCTTTTCGCCTGGTTAATGAGGGCACACATCCCCATTCTTCTCCCCGCACAGCCTCCCGGGCCCCAGGAGCTGTTACCAGCGGGGGAAAGGGCAGATCTCCCCTCTGACTGGCTGGCTCCCAAAGCTCCCTCCTCCCCATAACTCGCCTGGTTGAGATGGACACTTCCTCACCCCTGGCAAGCAGAGCAGCCTCCCTCCCTCAGGGACTTCCCAGCCCCCCAGATCCCACTTTTAAAGGGACAGGACTATATTTAAGGCCTCCTGCAGGTGTCCCGACTTTTTCTTAAAAATGGGCAAGTTGTCCATTTTCTGCCTCCTCCCCCATCAGAACTGGCAGGTCCTGCTGCTGGCGGATCCCTGCTCACCTGCCGCCCTCCCACAAGCAGGGAGGGGGCTGGGTGTGTAAGTCTGGTGGGTGAAGCGGCAGTGCACGGGGCCAGGCCCGTCCTGCTGGTCCATCAACGCAGCCCTGGTTGTGTGTCGGCTCTGGAGTGGCGGGGGAAGTGATTTCTAACCTGCTCCCACCCTGAACCTGCGGGGGCTTAGCACCCTCCTCTCCTGCCCCTCCCACACTGCCCTGGGTCTCGCCCCCAGGGAGTGCAGAGCCATCCCCTAAGCACCCTCTCCTGGCTGAGGCACCTCCCTGGCCAGGCTCCGTGGCTGCAGACGGCCCTGCAATTAGGTTCCCACAATGCAGGGACACATTACAGGAGGCAACTGGGCTATATCAGTGGCCTGCAGGTGTTAGCTGCCTTGCAAGGGGATGCGGGCAGGAAGGGATGAGCTTTGCAAAGAACGGGCCAGCTCATCCCTCTTCTCTCCCTCCCATGGCTGGAAGCAGCTCCCATCCCTTCCCTCACACACAGTGTCAAAAGGGGGCGACTGACCACATTGTGGTGTGGACCCTGGTGAATATCTGGGGGAGCATGTAACCATGCATGGCTCCCACCACGTGTTGCCTTGGGCAGATGCAGCACCAGGTACCGGGTAAGGTGGGTCTATCGTAGGGAGCTCAGCCAGAGAGGAAAGTGCTGGGCAGGGACGATTGATTGGTTGTTCAACCCCTCCCC